GAAGCGAAAGCTCTGTAATCCACTCAATATTTCGGTTAATTATCCAAGTATGTATCCCGATGATCAGCGGCGGCAGCCGTTGTTGGAGGAGGAAGATGAAGAGACTGCTTACAATTTAACGGAGAAGGTTGTGGTTGTTGGGATCGACGAAGCGGAGTCCGACTTGGATGTGGGTTTGCCGCCGTTTTCATGGAGGAAGCTCTGGCTGTTCACGGGGCCTGGGTTTTTGATGAGTATAGCGTTTTTAGACCCTGGGAATTTGGAGTCCAATCTTCAGGCTGGTGCTATAGCTGGGTATTCTTTGTTGTGGCTTCTGTTGTGGGCTACAGCCATGGGGCTTTTGATCCAGTTGCTCTCGGCCAGGCTTGGTGTTGCCACAGGCAAGCACTTGGCCGAGCTTTGTAGAGAAGAGTACCCTTCTTGGGCGAGAATTTTGCTGTGGGTCATGGCAGAGTTAGCCCTCATTGGGGCTGATATACAGGAAGTTATTGGGAGTGCTATTGCTATTAAGATTCTGAGTAATGGGGCTTTGCCTCTTTGGGCTGGAGTTATAATCACTGCTTTTGATTGGTAATTTTGATTCAAATTGAGTTTGTTGTGTATGATTATGTGTTTCCTTAATTGAATGTGTTTTTTGTGGATTCTTGTCAGTTTTATCTTCCTGTTTCTTGAGAACTATGGTGTGAGGAAACTTGAGGCTGTTTTTGCTGTTCTTATTGCTACCATGGCACTCTCATTTGCTTGGATTTTTGGTGAAACTAAGCCAGATGGGAAGGAGCTTCTATTGGGTGAGGTTCTTTTTTTGTTCTTGGTCTTTCATTATGTTTGGTATGTTAGTTTTCTGGTCAATATTGTGTTAGCCACTTACACAATGGCCAACAATGGATGTTCTTTACAGGTATTTTGATTCCAAAACTTAGCTCCAAGACAATTAAACAGGCAGTAGCTGTTGTGGGGTGTATCATTATGCCTCATAACGTGTTTCTGCACTCCGCTCTCGTGCAGTCACGAGACGTCAATCCGAGCAAGAAAGGGCGGGTTCGAGAAGCTCTTAGATACTATTCCATTGAGTCCACTCTTGCTCTTTTCGTGTCCTTCATCATCAACTTGTTTGTTACAACTGTGTTTGCTAAAGCTTTCTATGGCACAGACATAGCTAGTAGCATTGGTCTTGTAAATGCAGGGCAATATCTTCAAGATAAATATGGTGGAGGGCTCTTCCCCATTTTGTATATCTGGGCTATTGGTTTGTTAGCTGCTGGCCAAAGTAGCACCATCACTGGTACCTATGCAGGACAGTTTATCATGGGTGGCTTCCTGAACTTGAAGTTGAAAAAATGGCTAAGAGCTTTGATAACTCGAAGCTTTGCGATTGTGCCAACTATGATTGTCGCTCTCGCGTTCGAAACTTCTGATTCGATGGTCGATGTTCTTAATGAATGGCTCAATGTCCTTCAGTCAATTCAGATACCCTTTGCTCTGATTCCTCTTCTCTGTTTGGCTTCCAAGGAACATCTAATGGGCAGTTTCAGAATTGGCCCCATTTTAAAGGTATGTGTATGATTGATGTTCACTGTTCTACGTATATGTTATACAGCTCTCTGCAAATCATGCAAATCAAATGATCTTGGTCACATCTTTGTTTTTCTTTTTGATTTGTAGGGAATGTTTAGATTAGTTACTAGGCACCTTGCATCTTAGTTTCGTGTTTTAGGGTCATAGATGGTTCCACATCGGTTGGAGTGGGGAACGAAACATTCTTTACAAGGGTGTGGAAACCTCTCCCTATTAGATGCCTTTTTAAAAACCTTAAGGGGAAGTCCGAAAGGAAAAGCCCAAAGAGGACAATATATATTAGCGGTGGGTTTGTGTTGTTACAAATGACATCAAAGCCAGACACCGGGCAATGTGCCAGCGAGGAGGTTAAGCCTCGAAGGGGAGCTGACATGAGACGATGTGTCAACATGGATGTTGGGTTCCAAAGGGGGTGGATCGGTGTTCCCACATCGACCGGAGAAGGGAACGAGTGCCAGCGAGGACGCTGGGCCTCGAAGGGAGTGGATTGTGAGATCCCACATCGGTTGGGGAGGAGAACGAAACATTGTTTATAAGGGTGGAAACCTCTCCATAGCAAACGTGTTTTTAAACCTTGTGGGGAAACCTAGAAGGGAAAGCCCAAAGAGGATAATATTTGCTAGCATGGGCTTGAGCAGTAGCTAAGTGGTTTTGTAGCCAAGTGATTTTAGACCGGTCTAATAAGATCATTTAAACCTTCATGTTGTTCCATAAATTGTTTGGAAACAAATAAAAATTGTTGTTCAAGAATTCACATGCCCTTCTGCACCTTCAGTTGTCCTCTTGGCTAGTGGCAGTCTTGGTGATGGCCATCAACGGATATCTTTTGGTGAGCTTCTTCTCATCAGAAGTGAACGGAGTGCTCGTTGCCATTTTCGTGTTCGTCTTCATCGCTGCATATCTCTCCTTTGTCGTTTACCTCGTCTATCGAAGCATTTCATTTTCAAGTTGGCACAGCTTCATTAACCGGAAGACTTCCACGGACAACGAAAACTGAGTGATCATCTTCAACATCGACTCGGAACGTTTAGATTTCAGATCGATAATTGTCGAATACTTGCATATTCCTTGAGCATCTGTTAGAACACATCCCAGGAGTAACATATCAATATGATTTGACATGTTTTTCTTTGAGAAAAGTTCACTTTTTCTGTAGATTGTAGGCTCTTCAGCTTCAAATCTAGTGGGTAATCTAAGTTTATGCAGTCTTGGAAGTCTTAGGATATATTAATGTCATTCAAGTGTTGTGAAGTTTCTTGGCACTGTTAATCATATTTACATCACTCAGTGCTGATCTGATACTGAAACCCGACAGTGAATCATTGAAGTATGTTCATTTTATACAGTCAATTGATCTGATTGAGTATTTAAGATCTTCCATGGAGGTTACGGACAAGTCAAAGTGATGCTTAAGTTTGCTATCAGATAATGTTCTTGAATGTAAAAGATAAGCTCTAAGGTCTTGACATTTATTATGTGTTTGGATTAACTTTTCAAAGTGATTGTGATAGGTACAACCACTAATTTCATTACAGGATTTATACATTTTTGTGATATGATTGATGTTTTTTAGTTCATTTTTGCATCATTTATTGGTTGAATTAGTTTTAATGAGGTTAATTATAAAATTTCTTAGCAAGTTTAAAATTTTGTGTGATAAAATTATTGCATTATAATTAGATTGTAAAATCGTAAAGAACAAAATTTTGATAACATTAAAAATATAAGAACTAACAAGGGTTTTTGTGAAATCGCACATTGGTTGGAGAGAAGAACAAAGCATTCTGGTGTAGAAACTTAAAACTTTGAGGGAAAATTAGAAAAGGAAAACCTAAGGAGGATAATATCAGTTAGCTGTGGGCTTGAGCATGATAAATGATATTAGATCCAGTCATTGGGTGGTGTGTCAGCGAGAATTGTGAGATCCCACATCTGTTGGAGAGGGGAACGAAACTCAGGCGATGTGTCAGCGAGGATTGTGAGATCTCACATCGGTTGGAGATGGGAACAAAACTCAGGCAGTGTATCAATGAGGATTGTGAGATTCTACATCGGTTGGAGAGGGGAATGAAACCCAGACGGTGTGTCAGCAAGGATTGTAAGATCCCACATCAGTTGCAAAGGGGAACGAAACCCGAGCAGTGTGTCATTGTGAGATGGGGAACATCCCACATCGGTTGCAGAAGGTAACGAAACCTGGGTAATGTGTCAACAAGAATTGTGAGATCCTACGTTCGGTTGGAGAGGGGAACGAAACATTGTTTATAAGGGTGTGTTAATCTCTCATCTCCCTAGCATATGCGTTTTAAAACGTTAAGAGAAAGCCTAAAGGTGACAATATTTGATAACAATCATTGTCAATCGCCTAGGAAGTCTTTATTCTTAGCAAGTAATATTATACTGAGATCGAAAAATACAAACATGCAAACATGATTATTATGACGATATAAGGAACCATAACCGTACCTTGGATTCCAACTCTTTTCTTATACTTGAGATTTGCATCACTTTCTTACACATACATACATTAGTGAATATCACTTTCATGATAAACAGGATGTTTGAATTGTAATGTAGTGAGGTCATCACATTTAGAATGATTTCTAATACGTGATCATACACTTTATTTAAAGTTGAACGGAGTGGGTCGAGTGATAACACGTTTTTTTTTTTGTTTCAACCAATGTCAATTGGTACATGCATAAACGAGTTTCATGATGGGGCGTGGCTTACACTTGGCTACCAAGGGTTGAGCTTTGGGCATTGTAATCCCTTTACCTTCACTCATGTCAACTAAAGAGTTGTTCAATCTTTCCCATTCAAAGCCTTGTATCAACGATGCTAAAGTCAAGCCAGCCACTCGTTGCGCCATTCCCAAACCAGGACAAGCTCTCCTCCCCAACCCAAATGGTATCAGTTTGTATGACTCTGCGCCATTCTTCATCCCATTTGCATGTCTTTCAGGTTTAAAGCTGGTAGCATCTTCCCATAGATTCGGGTCTCTATGCATGGCCCAAGCATTGATGAATATTATCGTATCACGAGGAACATCATATCCTTCTATTTTGCATTCTTCAAATGCACAATGCGGCAAAAGAAGAGGAGCAGCTGGGTGAAGCCGCAAAGTCTCAGAGATTATTCCTTGAACATAACTCAAACTCGGCAGATCAGATTCGTTAACTAAACGCTCGTACCCAATCGAACTGTCTATCTCAGCTCTTGCTTTCTCTAACACCTCTGGATGGTTGAGCAATTGTGATACTGTCCACTCCAATGTCACAGCTAACGTGTCAATCCCGGCTAATAATATATCCTGCAACAACCAAACACTTTCATAATATTGAAGATGGTTGGAAGGAGTTCCACATTGACTAATTTAGGGGATAATCATGAGTTAGTAAAGAATACATCTTCATTGGTCTAAGGCCTCTTGGGGAAGCACAAAACAAAGCCATGAGAGCTTATGCTCAAAGTGGTTAACATCATACCATTATGGCGTGTTGTTATTTCTAACATGGTATTAAAGTCATGCCCTTAACTTAGCCATGTCAATAGAATTCTCAAATGTCGAACAAAGAAGTTGTGAGCCTCAAAAGTGTAGTCAAAAGTTACTCAAGTGTCAAACAAATAGTGTACTTTGTTCGAGGGCTCCGGAGAAAGGAGTCGAGCCTCGATTAAGGGGAGAGGCTGTTTGAGGGGCCCCGTAAACCTCACGGGAGGCTCTATGGTGTATTTTGTTTGATGGCTTCAGAGAAAGGAGTCGAGCCTTGATTTAAGGGGAAACTTTTTTAGGGCTCCGTAGGCTTCAGGGGAGGCTGTAAGGATTCGAGCCTCGATTAAGGGGAGGCCGTAAAGATTCGAGTCTCAATTAAGGAAAGGCTGTTCGAGGGCTCCGTAGGCCTCAGGGGAGGCTCTATGGTGTACTTTGTTCAAGGGGAATATGGTTGGGAGGGAGTCCCATGTTGGCTAATTTGTTAGCTAATTTAGTGACAACATTATAACATGTAGAGAGTCATTCATAGAACACAACAAATTAAGAAGAAATCATTAACAAAAGGGTAGGAGTTAATCATACTTGAATCAATCCTTTGATAATTTGATCGCTGTAATATTCAGGCTCGGTATTCTGCAAGCTAAGTAAACGGTGAATCATAGTGTTCCCTCCATCATTTTTATCTCGAATTTCATCCACTAATTCTTGAAGGAGTTCATCAGATGTCTTCCCAAGCTTCTTTACCCTCTTCTCAAAACCACTTGGATCAATGAATCTCCATAAGGGTATGAAATCTCCTGGATTGGTTGCTCCACTGTGAGCCATAATTTGTGTCACCATCTCTCTAAACTTGTCATGTCGCTCATAAAACCTCTTCCCAGCCACCATTCTCGTAACAATATTGAACATAAGATCAAGCAACATGGGCTCCAATTCCACGACCCTGAATCGATCTTCCAATGAATCCCCACATAATTTACATAGCAAACATTTGATTTCCTCTTCCCGAATTCCCAAGAACAAATTGAGGCGATTTGTTGAGAAGATCTCAAGGGAGCTTATCCGGCGGAGGTTTCTCCAATGTTCGCCGTAAGGGGAGACCGACATGACGGTATGGTTGTAGTTTAGGTACTTTGTAGAGTTCAAAAATGGGCGGTTTGCAAGAACAATATCGTTTTTTGTGAAGCATTCTTGGACGGCCGAAGGAGAAGAGATAACAACAACGAGACGAGAACCAAATCGGAGGGAGAAGACATGACCGTATTTTTGAGAAAGGTTGGTGAGTGTTCGATGGATGGGATGGTTTAGGAGATGGAGATGGCCAAGTAGTGGAAGACTAAAGAGAGGGCCTGGTGGGAGTTTCAAGCGACGTGGTTTCAACACAAAATTGAAGGCAAAGAGAAGAGGAAATATAAAGAGAGAAATAGAAAGCAAGAGAATATCCATGGAGTTTTCTGGAATTTCAATGTTTAGATATAGACGAGGTTCAAATATATAGATGGAAGATGTCTACGCTGGGTGGAGTATAACTCATCATCCAAACATCTAATTCGGAAATGGGGTAACGCCTATAAACCTCTAATGGAAAGGAAAGTCTTGTTCAGTCGCGTAACTTTGGTGTAGATTTTTTTGAAAAAGTACAAACTAACTCGGAGAACTAGGACCGAATGAAGATTGAAATTTTATATAAATCTCATCAAACACACGTCAACTAATTTATATATGTATTATGGATGAAAATGCCAAACGTTCAAAAAAAAAAAAAAAAATAATGAAGTTGTTTGTCCTATTTGAATATACGATGAAAAAAATACTTAATGTCTTTCAAGAAGGCTTTGAAATGAGAAACAACTCCGAAATTTGAGATGTCCACGGGGCAGGGCATGGACGGGGAAGCCTTCCACATCTCCATCCCCATCCCCACCACCTATTTCATTTTTCATTTATGAAAAATTCACTTTAATTCTTTTCCATTTTTTCCCATACTAATTATTTTAAAGTTTTTATTATTTAATATAATTTTTATTAAAAATTTTACCAAAAAAGAAAAAAATTAATTAACATATTTAACAAGTAAAAAAATTCCAATTTTACCCTACCTATTTATTAACAAATATTTGAATGTGTGGCGGCTTGAAGACAATAATTGGGTGGTCCAAAAGTAGAGTAAAATAATAGATAAATTGTACTAATTATTACTACAGATGATGAAAAGTAAAGGTATAGCTCCCATTCATTGCACCCAGTTAGTAGAAATCTTAGAGTTTTGTTTTATTTACACATTTTCAAATTTAAATTGCTTTTGGCTTTTACGCCTGGTCAATTGAACCATGTTTTTTTTTTAATTTCTTTATCCATACTTATTATATATCAACATGATATCTTTTATATTTGTAGCGACCTTAGATTTCTGCTGATTTAAAGTCGCTATCGTCATCTTAGTCTAAGTTTATATGCGAAATTTAACTCTTAAAATGTCATCGTCAATCATAACTTCATCTTAAATAGATAATATCAACTTAGAAACATAGTCATGGTTTTACGTGCTTAAAAACATAATTCAAAAACAAAATAAAAATGATAATAATAATAAATAAGGTAAAACATGAAATGCAAAACGACCTATACTAACCTAAGTCTAATGTTACTAGCCTATGCATGTGTCATGGTCTTTGATTGTGATGTCGTCGTCAGTTGTATAGAGGTGCCTTCTGTTTACCTGAAATAGAAGTAGCCTACGACTTGAGTATTTTAAGAAATATTTAATAAGTGACACCACTATTCGGGCCGGAAAAATGCAAACACATGCAACTCATGTTCTAGTGGCCTATCGTTAAAAACATCATAGCATCATAGGGGTGGCCTCTAGTTTGAACTAAATTGAATGTGTAGTACTTCTCTCTACACACGACCCACACGTGTGAGCGTGAATCCTCACGCGGTTCGTACCCCCTACATCCATCATAGTCGAGTTAGCTATTCGTAGCGACGTTCGGAGGTTAGCAGACCCCTGAGTGTCATGCGAGGCATGATCACCATCATCATCGTAGTGTATGCATCCGTACCCATCACCGTAAAAGGGGAAGTAGCCCGATCTTTGTTACATTTAATGAAGATGAGTTTGCAGAAGGAAAGAAATTCAGTACTTTGTTATAGGAAATTCAGTAATTTATTATGTGAAGAATGACTATATTATAGTCATAGCGAGTAGAATGGTTAACCAAAGATAAAAATAAAATCTTAACAGAAACAGAATATCATGCGAAAACAAAAAATTTGGGATCATATCTTGATTTGACATCGGCATAAGATCATATGAGTGATCTTATATCCGAACTTGAAACATAAAAATAACAACTAAATCTTTTTTCAATATTTCCACCCTTAAACGGATGACCTAGTCTTTAGATCAAACTTCAAGATCAATACCTTCTCAAACACAACTCGAGTCAAAGGTTTTGTCATGATATCAGCCACTTGCTCTTTAGTAGGACAATGTTGTAACATCACAATTCCATGTTTACTTAAATCACAAAGGAAGTGGAAACGATCATCAACGTGTTTGCTTCGACGGTGCAAAACTGAATTTCTAGTTAGCTTAATAGTGGAATATGGAAAGTGGAAATATCGCATTCGTCCAAGATCAGTCATATCAAATGCCTTCATCATGGATTCCTTAAAAGAACTCAACAAAGTCGATACAATGTTTCTTTGCAATCTGACAAGGAGAAACCAATCTTCAATACTGGAAATTCCCGAATGGGGACTTGTTCAGTGTTGAAGGAAAAGCTTCTCAATGAGTAACTTCTGGATCTTTTCATTTGCACAAGCCAACTCTTACGTTGATAATCTCTCACAACACCCCAGCAGTCATACCACGCAGCAAGGACAGCCTCCTCTTCCTAAGAGTTTGCATTAATTTTTCAACCTCTCTAACTTTCTGTAGATGCATCTTGTCCAAGATTTTGTTTTCTTCCTAACAAATCTATATCTGTTTCATTAACTCTTGATTTGTGTTTTGTAAATCATCCACCATAAAGGCCTTGATAATTTAGAAATTTAGTCTTTCTCTATATATTTAGAAATTTACGTGATAATTTTTCTTGTTATGTAACGACCTTAAATTTCCCGGTCCACGATTTACCTTTCATTTTTTTTTAACACAATAAATATAAAAATATTTTAATGGTCACCTATTAAATCGTATTTTTTTTTGTCATTTCTTCTCTATTTAACTCGCCATCTTCTCCATCCAACACACAAACTTTCACAATTTCAATTTTTATAAGGCCTCCATGGGCTCTCTTCAATCTCAATTTTTCTAAAGTCTCCATCTCTCTTCCTCCTTTGTTGCTCAAAACTTTCGAGTTTATTTCTCGTTCATTTAGGAAAGTTATCTGCTCTTTTAAAGAGTTGTGATATAGATTTTTATTATAGGATAAAGAAACAGTGATGAGTGATTAAATTGTAAATCTACTATTTTATAGAGTTTGTGGTGTGTTCCTACAAAACTCAAATACTTATTTAATCCTAAGCCATGTTATTGAGATATAATATCTAAGTCGTGTAAAGGATATCTTAGATATTATATTTTAATATTCTTTATTTATGATTTGATTTACAGTATATTTTATTTTATTTTGAGTATTTAATTATTTTAAAGTTTCCTCATTTGTACTGGCTTGTATCCTATTCAAAGGATATCAATATCAATGAACCTTCCCAATTCTATTTTCTATCTCATTCTTAACATGGTATCAGACCACCGATCTTGGTATTCTTAAATATCAAAATTTTATCTACGGCGGAATCAGTCAAATCCAGCTTCAAAAATTCGGATGTTAATTCAACACATCTTTATTATATTCACCACTCTGATCAACCAGGATATTCACGTGTTCTAATCAAATTAAATGGAACAAATTAGCAATCTTAGAGTAAATCAGTTATGCATGCTCTCATTGCCAAAAAAAAAAAAAAA